TAAATTAGAATATTCCTCATGTGACACCCAGTGACATTGCAAAAATTGAAATGTATGATATTATTAAAAGTGGTGTATACCTTCCTATTGCATTTCGTAGTTGGGACTAATTCGTTAACCCAAAATTGGGACAAGGAACCCACCACTGTTGGAATGTTAAACTTTCAGCAAATCGGGAGAGACCACGGTTTGCAATAATCGCAAATACCAAGCTTATTGCCTACTCACGATCGATTAGTCGAATATAATCCCTTAACCAGATTAGTACAACGAGTCGTTTGATATTGTTTAAAAATGATTAAAGATATCAATTATTATCAATTGATATTCAAGGTTTCTTTGGCAATAAGAATAAATTTATTCTTAAAAAATTGCAATAGTAGTTGATTTCACTTTATTAAATACAAAATCTCGAAACACTGCAAACTGGTTAACAAATAAATATCATAAAATTCGTTGGAACGATGGGGGGGGGGGGTGGTGAGTTTTGCCCAAACGCGACGATATCTTAAGGCAATTACTATATGAAAACTAATTATCTGCAAGAGAATCGAAAAGAAACGTTTTCTACAGTCATTTTTTGGAGACCACCATTTGATTAATGTCGAGGATATACAGTGTCCATCATTAAACAGGTTTAGAGGAAAAATATTTCCTTATTATAAAAATCATATAAAAGGTGGTGTCATACAACATTCTAAATTTTTTAGAAGTAGTTCAAAATAAATAAAACATATCTACTTGCATTCACAACATTTTGAAGTTGAGACCACTTGTGTCAAGACCTGTTTCACGAAAACTATTTCAATAAATAATGAAATTTCTTGAAGAAATTGATAATTTTTTTCTAGAATTATATGGGAAGATATTTGAAAATTATTTCAAATTATAATAAATGTGCACAAGATCTGAAATCAGTGAAATATGGTGAAACTTTTACATTCTGTAACACCGATTAGAGATTGGAAACATGCGCATGTCTCTTTTACGTAAATCGAAGGAATGGAGCTAGAAAAATAATTTCATTGTGCTATATGTACCGTTGGCTTCGATGATTTTCTGCCATTTTAATGGTAACTTGTATATGTCTCTCCTAAAGAAGTCCTTGTCCCTACTGGCAAAAAACTCGGCGATTCGATTTTCACAATCCTCCGTTGAACTCAATTTTTGTACATCGAAATTTTTCTTGGCCAAAAACAAATGGTAATGAATTGGGACTATAAGGTGGATGCATTAACACCTCCCAACCAAGCTCCCGTAGCTCGTGACGCGTCACCAAAGATGTATGGGGCCTGGCGTTGTCACGATGGAAATCAACGACCTTACAATTCACCATGGCTGGCCTCTTTTGTTCAAGTGCAATCTTTAATCGTTCCAATTGTTCACAGTAGAGGTCAGAATTGATGGTTTGGCCATAGGGCAACACTTCATAATGAATAATTCCTCTGATATCCCACCACACACTTAGCAACACCTTCTGAGCCGTCAGTCCCGGCATTGCCACCGTTTAAGACGACCAGTGAAATGAGTCGAGTTTATTACGGTGCAACAAAGATTCGCAGATTGATACAGGGTCGAAAAGGTTTTTTTCATGAGGCACCCATACATCGAGCTTTTTTGTTACATTTTTCGACTTTAAATGCCTATGGACGGTTTCCGTGCTTAGTTGCAGCTCCTCTGCGATGGTTCCAATAGTCAATCTAATCTCGATCCACTATTTTCTTGATTTAATCCGTATCAACGGACACTGGTCGTCCAGAAGGCTTGGGTGTTTCGGTATCAAAATTGCCACTTCGGAATCGCCTAAACCACTGTTTGGCGTTTTGAATAGAAAGTTTGTTATCTCCTAAGACAACAATAATCTGTCTGCGAGATTCCGCAGCAGTTTTTCCCTATGCGAAATAATATTTCAAAATTGCCCGAATTTCTGCGTTTGTGAACTCCATTTCAATCGATCGTAATTTTTTTACTTTAACGTCGAAGCTCATGTAACTATATGTCATTTTAAAGGTGATGCCAATACCTTTTAAACGATATACAGCATTGCCAGATACGATTATTTTTGACTTCACAAGCGAAGCGCTAATTTGGAATGTAAAAACCGGTATGTCATTACCAAACAACCAAATATATAGACTCACATGCACACGTACACATATACACTCATCTATTATGATGCACATTACCTTCGGAACTCAACCGCACTCAGCGCGTGCGCCACGGGTGCCGTAACATGCTCTTACAAGATGTTTACAAATCAGATGCATGTTCTCCACGATGTTTCCATACACATCTGGGGTTCCCACTCAGCCATTCAAACGCACACCCGTACACACAGGCTTACATACATTTATCGTCACATTTTATTACTTCATAGAACGTGCACTATAATTTATGGGTTTATGATTTCTATGCCAGATTAATGATTAAAAGGACCTGCGGGGTGGTGAGGGGAAATAATGTTTTAATCACTAATGTGACAGGTTAATAGCCCATAAATCTGTGCTATTACTACTGCTCTCACAGTCTCCAAGGCTGACTCCCGCAGTCATGAAATGAGCCACCTGAGTTTCTCCATCTTGGTCAAGTGAGGATGGCTGTCAATCGTCGTCTTAAACAGGGCGCAGAAATCCGGCCACTCCACATAGCCACCGCTGAGTGTTGGCATCGGCAACGGGGAAATGAGGGGAGCAGACGTGTAGGGAGTGGGTGAATTTTCAGCACCACTGGTACCATCCAATAGCGTAGAGTGCGCAGCAACTGTACTGGAGCGCTTGGTTGAGTCCTCGGTCCGCATCGCAGCCTTGAGCTTCTGATGCCGGGCCTCCAATTCTTTTACAGGTCACTTCAGCTCGTCTCCGCAGCTCGTCTCAGCAGGAGATCCAGCGGCGTCAGATCCAGACTCCATTATGTAATTTATGAAAGTGCAGGGTTATTAAAACAAAAACAAAAAGTTTCCGTGGCACTTTTAAAGTGTTCACAATATTCAAAAACACACTGTGATCACGTCGGGGTCACCAAAATGTTGAGCAACTGAGAGTTTTAAGTTGCTTTAGAATAAATACATCGGGGCAGTTCAATTTCCAAATTTTTATTACGAGTTCAAATCAAAACCAAATTAATTCCGCAACAAAACCACGCCGAATGCAAAAAGGTACAGCTTAACAACCAAAAGCTTCGAGCAACAGCAGTTCTACAAAGCTCCCAATAGCGCATGCGCTACAAAGTAACAATAAAGCGCATACGAAACTGAAATAATCAAAACGAACTAAAAACTGCTGATAAACCCGCCGCTGGTCATCCGTCTTTGCTTTGGCTGCTTGGCCCAACAGGTAGTTTAGAACATTTTTTATGATAGTAGTGCTCATACGGCTTCCGATTAGAATTCCAGGTTGACCATGTGCTTTACCATCTGGATTATTTGTTCCGTAGAATGAATATCCTCGTAGTTGAAAATTGTATCTATTTTTAAGGTGTGTTTCTGAAAGCAACATTACGTCGATTTGATTTTCAAGTAGGAATTCGGCTAACTCGAGCTTATGCTGCGAAACGCCGTTAGCTTTCCACGTAGATATCCGTAGGAAAGTCAATATTTGGATTGTTGTGAAACCAGCATTTGAATCAATAGATTTTGGTTTTGCATCAGATCTTGCATAGTTGTGCGCATATATGACATAAATTCCGTAGAGCTTTGCGGACATGAACTTTTTGAGGCAGAGGTAGCTAGTCCTGTTTTAAAGCATTTGCATATGTCACATTTTTGGAAGAGTTTATTGGTCCTAGTGAGGATCTGGCTGAAGTCGAGAAGAAGACTTCAAGGTTTGGTCTAGACACATTGGGCGCAACTAACACTATGACCTTGATTAGCCATATTCTTTGTAACTCGCACAGTGCACCGGGCGATTAGATTTGTGCGGTTCCTCAACTGTAATTTTGCGGTGCAGCAGGAACTGAAGATTGTATGTAGGGTGCACTTCGTATTTCTTCAGAGGCTTACTTTCTGGTTCGAGCTCAACCTTAAAGAGTTGCTGCGGCTTTCTATACCTGTTAAGGATATTGAAAGCTGTCTGAGCTTCTCTTGTGGCGTCTTTGTTATCTCTGCAGGTGGTCGATTTGGACTGTATGCCCTTTAGTACGTCTTGCACTCCCTTGCTGGCTTTTAGCTGATATGTGTAAAACTTCTTTTTATTCTCGGTAAGATATTTCGATAATACTCTGGAATTATCTACAGAATTCATTTGAACCTTGGGTTTCATGAATGTCGCCCTTTACAAGTGGTATCATGTGGAAGTTATCCTTGCCTATAAGCTCAATAATTTTGTTGGCAAAAACATTGGAACTTTTCTCGTATATAAAAAGGGCTGGGCGTAGGCTTCCTTTCCTCGACTTCAATAGATTCGGCCGCCTCAACCACATAGTCTGCCAAGATTTTTAATCGGTTTGAGTTCATGGGCGTTTCTTTTGCAGCAAAGCTAGCATTGTCTCATCTTGCGTTGAGAATTTAGGGGGATCGGCATACTTTTGATTTGGATGTAGCGACCCATACCAGTCTGCACAGCCGGCTTAATATTTTTATTGGTTTTGTTCTGTAACGATGCATAATAACATGAATCAGAATATACCTATATAAATACATATTAGTAAGTTATAAAAGCGTAGTAATGTCGAAAATAGCTAATCGCAGTAATGTACATATGTAAAAATATTTATACTTTATAGCATTTGCTTTTGTAAATGCTCGGAGCATAGAGAGTTGCTCGCCCATAAGCTTCAGGACGATATAACACTAACGAATTTTCGTTTTCCTCTTTTCACCTTATTCCGTCGCCAAACGCAATACAATTTGTTCTTGTTTTTTATTTAAATCACATTTTGCATTTGCGGGTCAGAAAATGAGTGATGAATTTTTTTTCTCTCATAATTAATATGTCAATTTTACAAGTCTTTTCGATCATGGAAATTATGAAGAAAATGTTTTTGGTAAACTTATTAAAAAAATATTTTTTTGAAATATATATATTTTTATTAGATTGTGTGTGTAGAAATAGACTATGAGCCAATTTTTTCAATGTCATCGGCATTATCTGTATTCAATAGCTTTATATCTTTTTTAAAATGTTTCTCAATATCGGAGCATACTTTCATAGATTTTTCGTCCGTTATAAGATTTATGGCGATCCCAGATTTTCCTGAAACGACATTTTTTAATACATTTTAATGATAATGCGTTAGTATCACAGAAATAAAATTTAAGCAAAAGCGAACGCTTGGGTCGAAAGTCTCGACCCCTTTCTAATCGAGTTTTAGAGTAATTATATTAAGAGAAATTGTCATGGCTATAACACTATGTTTATAGTATAATCTTCATAGTTCAAATATACTTTACCGGCGTATTTTGTTTAAAAAGGTTACCCATATAAGGTTAACTTCTCTAAAAGAAAGATTGATCCTACTACTAATATATTGAAAACAAATTTGAAACCCCAATAAGAACACGATTTACATATATTTGATTTATGTTCCTTAAAGTATTAATTTATTATTAACTTGGCCCAGCACAAAGATTTATTCACTTTGACGTTTGAAACGAGATAGGCGTAATAGCCAAATTATCGAAACAACTAATGTTGCAAACACTTGTATTGAAGATATACGTCTGTTTCTAAACATAGCGATGTAATTCATAATATTTAACAAAAACTACTGAGGGAATGTAAATTCTAATTTCAGAAGAAATACCAATTTTTCATGATAACCAACTAATTAAGTTATGGCATGCCTCAGTATTTTATATAACTTAGTTTAGAATTTTGACATTGGTGCATATCACCCTATGGCAGAACTAATGCTAAATAGATACCACAAGTGTAAAACGGGGCTTTGTGAGGGAAGTTGGCCTTTGACGGTGCTAACGAAATATGGCATCTACCTGACTAAATCTACTTTGGTGTGACCAAAAGCTTTCCGTGGAATCTAATAATATTCTTTCAACTACCTTAACAAATTATCCTACTTATAAATGCTTTTGATATTATGATTTCTTTATCTTATAAAAAATATATTCGCGTGTCGGCTTACAGTCAGATATATATTGTTTTCAGAGAATGTAGATTTTATTTTTTATACCCGTTACTCGTAGAGTAAAAGGAATATTAGATTCATTGAAAAGTATGTAACAGGAACACCCTATAAAGTATATATATTCTTAATCAGGATCAATTGAGCCATGACCGTCTGTCCGTATGAACGCTGAGATCTCAGGAACTACTAGATTAAACATGAAGATTCATAAGGTCCATACGCAGCGCAAGTTTATTTCGTCCTGCATGTTCACATTTGTGGGATCGGGACTGACCATGGCCTCTAAGAAAATGTAGCCTAGCTTACGCTAAAAAAGGGCAAATATTTGTAAACAAGTAAACACGAAAGATGTGAGTTCCAGAAGATTAGTTGTGGTAGACCGTTGTTTCATTAATCCATGCTGGCATAAGATTTTACTGATATACACTGGGGCTGAAAGTGAGTAACAAGAATTTTTCGAAGTTTCGGAATCACTGATAGTTAGGGATTCTTTCTTTATTAGGAAAAGTAGGCGTTTCAAAAGAAATATTAAATAATTTTAGAAGAGGATTGCAGTACCCAATCATGCACCCCAGTACACCGTTTGGCCCTGTCAAAAAGACATGCTTCACATTATAAACATTCTTTAAAACTCCACATTCCGACGAGTTAGGTCGGGAGATAGGATTGGACCGGAGGCGTAGTAATAGTAGTTACCAAAGGTGAGTAAGAGGTTTGAAAAAACTGAGTAACAGGATCATATTTGCTGTCCTATTAGAAGATTTAGAATTTATATCTCAGTAAAAATTTCATTCTCTTAGTTAAAATTGTATATCACCTGTTCGTATACTCCGCCTAAGTTCGATTCCTTGACGTATGAGCGGTACCTCGCAGCCACTCATGCTGCCTTCTCAATTTTATCGGACATAGATTATAGAAGATAACACTTTAGCTTTAACACCTACGTCACATCATATCTTTACTACTGGCATGTTAGACATATCACTAACTCAAATGTTATATGGAATTCTTTAGGTCGTTTGCTCGATCTGTGCTTCCTCTCTGATACGGACGCCGTATCCATATCCAGAGCTCCACCGCTCACACATCATGAAGATGGATACGGGAGTATGTACTAAGCCTAAGAACAATTACGCTGATAAGAAAATTTGATGTTTTCGTAAAGCCGATTTAAAAAAATATTAATAACTTTATTTCAGAATTTGACTGGTCCGATTTTTACGCATGTACCGATATGTCGACTACTTTAGATATATTTTATAGTACAATAAACCTAATTTTTGATCGCTTTGTTCCGTTGCGGTAGCCGGCTATGGCGGATAAACCCCCTTGGTATACAAGGCACTTTTCTAATCTAAAAAATATTAGGTTAAGAATCTTTAAAAAATACCTAAGAACTGGTAGCAATGACAGTTATGTGCATTATATGGTGGCTCGGTCAAACTTTACCGTGCATAACACTCAGTGTTATATGAACTATTTAGCTCGATGTAAGAACCAGTTTGCTCTGGATCCAAAACACTTATATAGTTTCGTTAACACTAAGGGTAAATCTAAAGCCTTTTCGTCCTCGCTATCATTTGGAAAGTCTACTTTAAGCATGGATCAGGAAATTGCCAGTCTTTTTGCTCAATTTTTTCAAAACACCCACTTACCTTTGTTAACAACCGCACAGACTTACGCGTATGATATCCCCCAGTCAAATCTTATTTCCCGACCCACACTTCGGTATTTGGAATCATAAAGGATCTCCAGAATGTGAAGCCGGTCTTTTCGCCAGGTCCAGACGGGGCACCGGGTTGTGCGCTTAGGTATTCCTATTCTACCCTGGCAAGACCCCTTTTAAAATTATTTAACCTTTCCTTAGAAACGGCCACGTTTCCCGCTATCTGGAAAGACTCCCTATTATTCCCCTTCACAAGAAAGGAAAAAAATCGGAAGCTGAAAATTACAGAGGTATATCTAACTATCAGAAATTCCGAAACTTTTCGAAAAAATTCTTGTTCCTCACTTGCAACACCAGTGTAGATCTGTCACATCTGCATACCAGCATGGCTTTATGAAACAACGGTCTACCACAACCAATCTTCTGAAACTAACATCCTTAAAATATTTTCAAATCTACTATTTTACTCCTATTTCTATTTGGATTTCGAATTAAGACTTTTAACAGTTAACGATCTCTGATTATTTTTTTTAATCTTGACAAATATGGGATGTCTTAAATTATTGGAATTTTTTCTTCTACATTCTACCATAAATAAGTTGTAGTGTACTTGTAAAGGGTGTTTTTTTTAAAGGTATATAACTTTAAGTTGGCATTACTGTTCAAGATGGCGATTGGACCGATTTAACAGCTGTCAAGTGATTTATTCTTAGTTTGGTTTAGCAATTTATCATGAATAGACTTACGCCTGAACAACGCTTGCAAATAAAGCAATTTTATTTTGAAAATAATGGTTCTTTGCGGAATAACATTTTCTCTGATTGATAAATTGCATCCCCAGAGACTGTAGAGTGTAGCATTGAGGAAGACCCGAATGAGTCCATCCGCCATCGAGCATAAAAATTGAATCACTTTCTAAAATGAACAGCCATGATTTCCAGGAGCTGTTCTTTCAACAAGACGGCGCAACATTTCATACAGCTCGTGCTACAATCGATTTCTTGGAAGACACGTTTGGTGACCGCCTAATTTTACGTTTTGGGCCTGTGAATTGACCTTCAAGATCTTGTGATTTAACACCGCTAGACTACTTTCTGTAGGCTATTGGTCTATTCCAATAAGCCATAAACGCTTGACCATTTGGAAGACAAAATTCGTCGTGTTATTGCCGATATACGGCCAAAAATGTCGGAAAAAGTCATCGAAACTTGGGCGTCCAGATTGGACTACATCCGAGCCTGCGTGGGGGTCATATGTCAGAAATCATGTTTAAAATGTAATGCCACAAGATTATCTTTCGAATAAAAACAATTAATGTCAATACAATAATCCATGATTGTTTTATTGAAATTTAAAATTCGATGCCTCTAAAAACCCTTTATATGAAAATGTAATTGTTCACGCCAAAGCGGCCCAATTCCAGTTCCAGTGAAAGCAGTTCTTCCAGATCGCTCTCATCTAGCTCTCTCGCACTGTTAAGGGTCTCCATTCCGCTCTCCGAGCGGCACTTGCATTTTCCCCCCGTAGAGTTAAGTCCTATTCTAATTTAACACTGTACGAAGACGCTTGACTACCGTAAATAAAATGTGATAAAATTGCGATATATCTGCGGTGTGAAAATTTAATCCGCCCCACTCCAACAGTAATGAAGGGTACGGCAGAACGGAAAGACAACTCCAGCAGCAAAAACTGACCTTTCTTTTCTAAAATAATTTAAATAACTCAATTAAGTTTACTTACCAAATCTACCGGTGCGGCCAATTCGATGTAAGTAAGTTTCACAGTCAGCGTTGCCACGAACATCCACCGGCAAATCAAAATTAACAACAATTGTAACTTGCTCAATGTCAATGCCTGAAGACAAATTCAGATTTGCATTATTTATAATTTACCGTCAAACAACAAATACCTCTTGATAAAACATTCGTAGTTATAAGTACTTTTTCAAGACCAGAGCGGAAACGATCTAAAACAGCAAGTCTTTGTTCAACTGTCAAATCACCAGAAAGCACAGCAACAGAATGACCATCCGATGTCATTTTTGCTGCAAGCCAAGCAGCAGTTTTACGGGTCTATAAAATAAAAGGATATTATATTTTGCATTTTTTAGCTGGCGGTAATGCATATAAAACATTGAAAATTTTTAAATGGATGCTAAGGAAAGTAATTAACCCCTTTGCTAAGCATGAAAGTGTTTAAACAGACTCTAACTAACCTTAACAGACCTTAATCAAAGCCATCCAGAAAGAATGAAATGAAATCTTAATATTACGACTAAAATAAATATGTACCCGTAGAGTACAAGTCACATTTCCGGAGTGCTAACACAAAAATCTAATGTCTAAATAATAAATTTGGTCTTAAATTAGAGTTATGTAAGTAAGAAGCAAGAGTGTAGTTAAATCGGTTATAGTGAATATTTTTTAATAAATAAAAGATGTTATTTTTATACTTACGTGGCAAAAAATAATGGCTTGGCCAATGCTTACGCAACCATAGATATTTTGGATTGAATTATATTTTCCATCCTCATTTTTACATTTAACATAATATTGCTTTATGTTTTCAAGCGATTCTTCTTCTCGCATTAATCTGAATAATTCGTAAAAAAAGAATTGTAATATTACTAAATAAAATATCAAATCTTAGCACACTTTATGGTACAACGGAATTATTGGCAAGTAGAAGTTATTGTGATGACCATATATAATGATTATAACCTATTTATTTTCTTATATTGGAAGAATTTTAAGGCGTAGTTTTTTAAAATATAAATTTTTTATTGGAATATTTAAAATTGCGTTTCACATTTACGTATAAAAATAACTTCATGTAAATGTATTCCGGGACTCCGCGCCGTCTTGATGGATCTACTAGTGCAAAAAAGTCGAGTATCGTGGATCGATAAAGAGTCAATTGTTTAATGTCCAACAAAGTAAACTTAGTGCGGAATTTGGTGATAACAGCAAATTATTTATTCACTAGGACGATTATGACGACTGTAATATGGTCGTAACAAACGAAAATCGTTTTCACAAAGCAAGAATTTTGATATTAAAATTCAACAAAAAAAAAAATTTCCATGATGAAATGAAAGAGTATACTGAAAACTTCAATCTGCATTCGCCCATTTGCAATATCTATTAATTGTGTTTTAAGGAGGGCATAAATTTAAGCCACCTTTTTGTTTTACAACTTATAATAAAAAAAATGCGGTGCCGTGAACGGCGCGAAACAAAAAGGCCGAAATATTTTTTTATGATTAATTTTAGCAACGCTGCGACTGCGTGTTGACAGCGACAGAGAACGAAATGTAATGGGGCGAGCCGAGCAATCGGCGACTCGCGAGCGCTTATCTCGGCTTGCCTTATATATAAAAGAGATAATTCAGATAAATTGTAAGCCATAATTCTGGTATTAGCTAGATGACTGCTGCCAACAAATTGTTTTGCAAATATTTCAGCCGACGCATCAAGTTTTACATTGAATCAATCATTAGGTTAAGTACAGAAAGTATATTAGCTCACACATTGAGCTAAGTCCTCATCTTAACGATGAAGCCAACGTAGACAGCTTTGTTAATTCACTGGAGCCTGTACTCGTCTCTGCAGCTCGAGTTTCAACACCTCAAACTATAAACACACAATGCAAATCTACAAATTGAACAGCTCGTTCTCGAAAAGCGACGCTTACGTCGAGAGTGGCAATTTCACAGATCGCCATCTGCTAAGCAATGTATAAGACATGCCTCACTTCAACTTACTCAAGCTCCACAGCAAGAAGAAGCATATGTGCACCGCCGCTACATAGAGCAATTGTCATCTTTAGCTTACCCAACTCAGAGCTCACCGAAAGCAACCGTGATGCCTATTAGAAATTTCACAGGCGGCTGGGCGCGCTGTGACGCAGAGAGAGCCAGCACGTTTGCCAACTACATTAAAAATGTCTTCAAACCAAAGCCACTATTGCGTTGACTTTACCGTATGAGCCTTAGCCTCAACATGAGCCAATTGAGTTTCACCCAAATGAAATCTTTAACATCATCAAAAGTCAACTGAATCCGAAATCCCCGGGCTGCGACCTCATAATTCCCAAAATGATCATTGAACTCCCATATTTCGCCGTTTGCACTCTTACCCAGGTTTTCAATGCCATCGCAAAACTTGTCAACTTTCCAGTGAGAAGGAAAAAGTCAATTATAATAATGATGGCAAAGCTGAGAAAAGAACACACAATCCCCACGTCGTATAGACCTATTAGCCTCCTCTCATGCTTATCAAAACTCTTTGAAAAATGCTAAATGACTCGGATAAACACATACCTAAGAATCCAGGAAGGAACCCCGTCACATCAATTTGGATTTCGTGAAAAACACGGAACAATTGAACAGGTCATCCGGATAACATCAGAAATTCGGAACGCGTTCGAAAAACGAGAGTACTGTACTGCCATATTTTAAGAGGTCTCTCAAGCATTTGATAGAGTCTGGCTAGAAGGTCTAATGTACAAGATCAAGACAATGCTTCCCTACAGCACCCACAAGATTTTAGAGTCTTACCTTCACGACAGAAAATTTATTGTGAGGTGCAACAACTATATCTGATAATTATACTGCTGGAGCTGGAGTTACTCAAGGTAGTGTGCTAGGGCCAACATTATCTGTCCTCTACACAGCAGACATCCTGACAAGCATATGACTAATAATATTTACGTTTGCCGATGATACAGCTATTCTTAGCCGCTCAAAATGCCCAATGCAAACAGGTGCGCAGCTAGCTCTCATATGGTCGATGTTGAAAAATGGTTATCACATTGGCGCATTAAAGTGAACGAACATAAATGCAAGCACGTTACGTTCACCCTGAACAGGCAAAACTGCCCGCCGCTTACGTTAAACAACACTGTACTCCCGCAAGCAAACGAAGTGATTACACCTCGATAGAAGACAAGCACCGGCACATTGAAGGCAAAGGAACACACGTAAAGCTAAAAGCCAGCAGCCTTCATTAGCTTATCAACGCTCGGTCTCCCCTTAGCCTTGAATATAAAGTCCTGCTATATAACTCGGTACGAAATCCTATATGTTTGTACAGCTCCCAGTTATGAAGGAATGCCAGCAATAAGAATATTGACATAGTCCAGCGAGCTCAGTCGAAGATCTTAAGAACAATCACCCTGGCACCGAACACATAAATCGCGACTCAAACATTCTACCAGAAGGAAAAGTACTTTACCAAGCTATTGTTGAACCCTAACCACCTGGCGAGAGATCTAACAAGGTTGAGCAACCGATCACGTCTTAGTCGAAATGACTTTCCCACCTAGCGACCGACTTGAGGCGTCCGCAACCAGAATACAGTCTTAGAATACTATTAATTAAATTTTAATGTTAAGATTCGTAAACTTATTGTTACTCTCAAAATTAATAGAAGATTTTATAAATAAAAGCATAATTAACAAGAGGAAACACTATAGTCGAGTGCCGCGACTATAAGATACCCGTTACTGTTTTACACAATTTTAAAATATTCATTTTGCTACTGGAAATTACCCAAGCGCCACCTATTGTCAGAGAATCATGTCGAGTAACTGATAGTGACGTCACTGCCCTTGTGAGGCCTTATAACCTAAATTTCTTCATAGGTAGCGAAATAATGTTCCGGTTTGTGGGCGTAAGAATGGGAGTGCCGGATGCAACTTCGTGGAAAGTTGCAGAAGCATCTCTTAAATACGTATTCTTAAGCAAAATTTTGTAGCTCTTATAGTTCCCGAGATTTTTTTTGTTTTTTTGGGTTTTGTGGGCGTTAGGGTGGGCGTGGCTAGATGGGAAAAAAACAATTCGCATTTGGGGCATCATAAAAATCTACATGCTTAATCCGATTTTTCTATCACTTATAGTTACCGAGATATCAAATTTTCTTGAAAATTCGAAAACCGTCATTTGAGCTTGATGGGCATATGGGCGGGTGTGGCCAGATAATAGTATCTCTTAAAGATGCGCTGACATCCAACGTTTATACATACTGAATTTCTACTTTCTCGATCTCATAGTTCCCGAGATTTTAGCGATTTTAGTTTTCGCGTGGGTGTGGCAGGATGCTAAAATAAACTTGCGCTGTCCCGGGAATGTCAAGAATCTTCATGCTTAATCTGAACTTTGTATCTGATATAGTTCCTGAGATCTCAGCGTTCATACGGACGGACGGACGGACAGACGGACGGACGGACGGACAGACGGACATGGCTCAATCGACTTCGCCATTGATCCTGATCAAGAATATATATACTTTATAGGGTCGGAAACGCTTCCTTCAATCTGTTAAATACTTTTCAAGGAATCTAGTATACTCTTTTACTCTACGAGTAACGGGTATAAAAAGCATTCATAATAAAAACAAGAGCAAAGTGCCGCGACTATAAGATGCCCGTTACTGTTTTACACAACATTAAAATATTCATTTTGCTAGTTAAAATTCCCCAAGCGCCACCTATTGTCGGAGAAAGAATGCTGAGTAACTGATAGTGACGTCACAGCCAATGTGGGGCCTTATAACCTAAATTTCATCATAAATGGAAAAATAATGATCCGATTTGAAATATCTTTGGTAAATCGATAGAGATTGACAGAAATAAGTTATACAAGGTCAAACGAAGGCATTCATAATAATATTATAGACAAAACATAATCCTAACCATAACTTTCTAGTTCTTATAGTTTCCGATATCTTTGCAATTTTGGTTTTTCGGGTTTTGTGGGCGTTAGGGTGGGCGAAGCTAGATCGGAAAAAATAATTCGCATTGGGAGCATCATAAAAACCTACATGCTGAATCCGATCTTTCTATTTCTTATTGTTACTGAGATATCAGCTATTCTAGAAAATTCGGAAACCGTCTTTGGAGCCTTGTGGGCGTATAGGTGGGTGTGGCAAGTAGTACTACTATAAGATGTGCTGGCATCTAAAGATTATACTTTTTGAATTTCAACTTTCTAGCTCCAATAGTTCCTGAGATTTCAGCAATTTTACCGAGATATCAGCTTTTCTAGAAAATCCGAAAACCGTCTTTGGAGCCTTATGGGCGTATAGGTGGGTGTGGCCGGATAGTACTACTATAAGATGTGCTGGCATCTAAAGATTATACTTTTTGAATTTCAACTTTCTAGCTCCAATAGTTCCTGAGATATTAGCAATTTTAGTTTTTTGCGATTTGTGGGCGTTAGGGTGGGCGTAGCTAGATCGGAAAAAATAATTCGCATTGGGAGCATCATAAAAACCTACATGCTTAATCCGATCTTTCTATTTCTTATTGTTACTGAGATATCAGCTATTCTAGAAAATTCGGAAACCGTCTTTTGAGCCTTGTTGGCGTATGGGTGGGTGTGGCCGGATAGTAGTTCAATTGGCATGGCATTGGCTGGCATCTAAAGATTATACATACTGAATTTCAATGTTCTAGCTCTAATAATTTCTGAGATTTCAGGGATTTTAGTTTTTTACGATTTGTGGGCGTTAGAATGGGCGTGGCAGGATGCTGTAATAAACTTGCGCTGCGTAGGGACCTTGTTAGCCTAAGTCGATGTATCGCTCTGTCCGTCTTTGACATTTTTCCACTTATGGTTTGGGAGTTTTTCAATTTATGGTTTATT